GATGATGACTTCACAGTGAGTGCTCTTGTCATTTGGTAGAGTACATCCACACCATACCTTGTGGAGTTGTAAAAGAACACAGTCTCGGGTTTCTTCTTTCCAGAGTCTTGAACAGAAGAGTTACTATGCAGAGAACTGAAAACCAAAACACTCTTATTCCTTCTAGACTGGTAGGATGTTAATGTGTGCTTATTTTCATTCCTCATCATAAGTGAACTGAACAGCTCTCTATTTCTTTGCTTCAAAATCGATGGTACTTCCGTTCTATTAGCTCGAAGTGTTCCCACCATACTAGTGTTTTTCCTGGCCAGCATTTCTCCTAATGCTGCCGATGTAAAGAAGTTGTCACATGTGACAATGTACCCCTTTCCAAATAATGGTGACACCAAGCGCAATACCACGCTCTCTGCAAGACTTTCTCCTCTTGACCGAGTTTCGTCCTTCCCGAGATATGGAAATCCATTAAGGAGATACTTGCGGTCTACTTCTGCCAACATCCAAAACTTGATACCGAACTTATCTGGTTTGTTGGGCATGTACTGGAGAAAACGACAACGGGTTTTGGAGGGAAACAATTGCTCATCAACTGCGAGATTCTGCGCATGCACATAACATTGTTGAGAGTTGCGAATGAATGTATTCCACAATTCAGATATCAAAGCAAACTTATCAGTTAGCAGTCTTTCACATCGGGTAGTTCGCATGTCAAAACGGAGGAACCTCATTATTTCTTTGAAGCTGTTCTTGCCAGTTGTCTCCCTGAAAATAGGCAGTCCATATCTATCGCACCACATCATATTCAACGGCATGTTCTTCAGACCCTTGAAGCCTCTGATGTAAAGTAGACCAATAAAGGCACGCAGCTCTGGAAGACTTTCGCTCCACTGACAACTGACACCAAAAACTCTCTTGGCCTCAGCTTCAGTACATACTTGAATATGTTTCAGCATCTGGGGCGTGATTATGATGTCAAAAGTGCTCGACAGCTCACCATATTTCACACATTTCTTAGCATAGGGAGTTGGTCCTGGTCTAGCCTTAAACACATTCTGTGATGGAATCCTATCAACAGTAGATGTTTCGAACTCCACTGTGATCCACGTGCTACCATCTTTCGATACGTGAAGCTCACCGGGAGATACCGAATCGATTGATACACTCTCTCTAGGGTTCTCATATGGAGTGTAATCATCAGACGTTTGACTATCAGACATGCTGTGATTTTCTGCTGACTCATGGAAGATGGAGTTCTCATCAACATCATAATCGTTCTCGTCTCCAGACTCGTTGTCATCGACGGTTGTAAGTTGTCGTAAAACCTCAAAGGCTGTTTTCCTCAGAAGTGCCATTGTGTACAAAAATGTCACTGGAATTTATCTGACTGAACGCACAATATCACAGTAAAATCGTGATTCGGCTAGTTTTCACTCCCGTTTTGACTGCTATAGTATATAACTGTCAGAAATGATAGTGGTGGCTAAAAATAAAAAGAGGAACCGGATTAGAGAGAAGCGGTCATTTTGACCGCTAACGGGCTTTCTAGGTAGTATGAACACAGGTACCTCTTTTCTCGAAAACTATAACAGATATGAAAACGAAAATTCACAGTAATGAAGAACGTCCAAAAATATTAAAAGTCACGAAATATGTTTGAAAAATGTCCATAAATGTAGAAAATATGCACATTTAAAAAGCTGAGCGGTCAAAATGACCGCTCCGGGCGTTCTAGTGTTAATGAGGTTGTCCGACCGCGTACCGGCTGCGATTAAAGATCCGTAATAATTGTTCTGCCGAATTTAAATGGCGGTGTATGTCGAATGGTCATGTTTGATGAGGACATTATTAACAGCGAGGATGTGCGACGGAGCTGTCCGAATAACTTATTATAAGGTGCATAGCTGTGGTACATCTATGACAAGTAGAACGCCGTTCACCCACTCACAGTAATAAGGCAACACCAGATTTAGGTAAACAGATGACAAGGAACAGCACCGGAAATAAGAACCTTGTTCACGTTGCGACTCCGTTAACTGGCCAGCGATTGTACGTGCTGGCCTGCAGCTATTCTTACTTGGGTGTTGAGGGAGAATCAACGGGGCTCTACCCTAATTCAACGGCCACCCCAGCTTTGTGATACGCGAATAAAAAAAAGCCAGAAACAAGCCCACACTTGACAGGCCAAAATTCCCACAGAGTAACCAGTTCGACCCGAACGACCCACATATGAAAACAGAGGGGAATAACGCGGAAAAATAAGGATTTCTACTTAATGCACATAACGGAAGAGAACTGCATCAACGGAGGAATTGGCATTACGTCATGCTAAAAATGCACCGGCCAGTTCATCGGTTTGGGCCCACTTTGACATCGAATACTACACGACGATGAGATGTGATGCATCACCTCACAGAGTCGGAGCCCCCAGTTACAGGCTGACGCGAGACCAGTAAGCGAACCGATTGCATTCGCCTCTCCGACGCTATCCTAGGCTACCGAGCGAAATTGCACCCGAAATGACAAACTATCGCGGTCATATTTGGGGTTGATCGTGTTCACTATTTGAAATATACCCAGACGACAAGTCATTGTTGAGAATTCAGGGCGAATCCGAAACGACACCAAAAACTGCATCACCCCGTATGCGCCGCTGGGCCCTACCACTCACTGGCCGTCAGTATCCAATAAAATATCTTCCAGACACGAAGAACAAGTGGGCCTATGCTCTCAGCCGAATTCCATTATGAGGAGGGTTCCGAGTCACACTCCAGCTTTGAGAAAATTGATGCAGGAGATATCTTGGCTGGATGAATCGTCTGTGACAGGAACGGAGATAAACTCGGATGCGGAAAAAGCTGTCAAAAGTGCGGGATTCTATCCACCCTAGTTGGCCGGATAGGGTAGACGAGAGTCGAACAGCTGAAGTGAGCCTCGTGGATGCTTGTACATTTCAGGGCTCTCGGGTTGTCCTCCTTAACGACATCATCAAACAGTCCCACTAAAACTCCATATAGGTCTCCAAGGAAATTCACAGATGAATACGTTAGCATACAACTATATATGGTAGCCCGGAGTCGATCAGAAGATAGAAAAATCATATCGTTGTAGAAAGTAAAAGCCACGGTTAATCTTTGCACAATAATCAGTATGTTAAAGGTTCGATTCCCCATCGAGGCAGATTATTGTGCCAAGTTTAACCGTGGCTTCTAATTTCTACGAAAATTACATACTCACAAAACCATCAAGTTAAATATAAGATCGTGCCAGCTACCAGGAGAATAAATCATCCTCATAGCCCTAGCTTGATTGTTATTAGTCATTTTGTTCCACTGTGAGTTCCATATGTTCACTTCCATTTGGGTCCTAATTGTGTTACTCATGTAGGAGGATATGAATTGTGATTTGCAATCTTTTCGTCCCAGCTTCGCACAAGCTACATAGCACAGCTAGTCCGGAAAAGCACCAGACCCGTTTCGCCCTATTGGGGCTCGTCAGTGGTGCGCATTCCCTCGGTCCCCTACTGGGGATCGAACCCATGACCGCTAGAGGCAGATGCCAACAGATTAAACCACTGAGCCTTGGAGAACGTCGGCTAGGCACGCAAGTTGCAAACTAACTTAGATATAGCACGACCTATCTTCCACTGCCACGCAGGTTACCACCTTAGCTGATGACAGTGGCTAGCCTCCGAAGGTCATGAACTTCTCTCGCTAGACGCTACGTCGGTAGCCTTCGGTATTATGTTCGCGACTGAAGTTGAAATGTTAACATTTCGGGCTCATCGTCTGTGTTAATGTCTTCATGGAAGTGGCCTTCTCACTCGTGCGATATAATACATAGTGACTCCTGTGGACCCATGAATGGCTCCACGGTGTTCGCTGTGGCAGACACACAATACGAACAGATCGAAGCTCGGGTAACCACATCTACCGCATCCTAAGAAATATGTGCATGTACGGTTGGCTCAGATAATGGCTTGGCATATAAGAACGACGAGTTCGGATAATTCTTGCGCCAAAATGGACTGGGACACGTTCCCTCGGAAACATTTCATCCAATGGTCTGGCTTAGAAAGTGATTGAGACATTCAAACAGGGTGGTGGCGGACAACAGCCTGGAATATTACAAACCGACTTGGAAAAATTCACAGTACAGTACCGTATTACACAACATACTACCACGGATCATCCGCTGTGTGAACTTCTGATGAGGTAAGGACTGCGCACCCGACTGAATCTGATTAAGCGATCTGAGGTGCCATCAAGTCTTTGATCATCGTTGTCTGCGAGGCATTACTGGTGTAGAATGGCACCAGTGTGTCCGCAGCGATGATGTGCGTAAGCGAGTACTAGGTCAGTGATAATCACGCTAATTCATTAAAACAACAGATAACACTGAGTAAGTTGCGCTGGCTTGGGTACGTACTACCTATGCATTGTTGTGTTTGCTAGATGTAGTGTGGTGGGCAAAAGTTAACTTGGCAGCGGGAGATAAAATCACTGACAACGCAACTCAGTGCTATGGGTCCGTCTAGCCTTCCATGCTGAAGTACACGTGACTTGCCTTGTGTTTGGCTTGAGACGTTGGAGAACATGGCTTGCAGTCGACACCAGCGGTGTGTCTGAGTCGTCTCCTAGTCGGACTGCCAGTTTAAAGTGCGTTTGATGCTGAGTTATCTGCGAAGTAATGGCTGATTATGATTCGGGGCACTGATATGCGCAAGGAAGCCGTTTCGCTGATGCCGGCAAATCTTTACACAATGGCCACAGGTTTGTTGTGGCACGTTGTTGACAAGGGGTAGGCGCCTTGACCCTGAGTGTTTGCCTAGGATAATAGAATTTTTCGGTGTGTCCCTCTTCTCTTTCTCTTATTTTTCATCGTTCCGTAGATCGTTGTAGTTGCCCTGCAGCGAAGCGTCAGTTCAAGTGGCTGATGTACTGCTGTTGATAATGATGAGGTCTAACGGGCGAACGACACCCTCCGTAAACAGATGCAAGATATTCGTAGTTCAAATGAGTGTACTTGGTGTCAAATCATTTACAAGGCAGAAGAAATAGAGTGAGCATGAGGAATGACGATATAAAGAAATAAAATACCATGTACAACAAACAAAGCACACGTTCTCTTGCAAATCAGAAAACAAAACAAATGCAGGCGGCTCGATTGTGTTCTTTGGGGGTGGGAGGTGGGAAATGCGCAGAGGCAGATAGCCGAAGAGGTGATAGACAACATTGCAGCAGCAACGGAGAAGCCTGAAAGACAAAAGGCAAAGATCCCTGGGAGGAAGCACAAAATGAAGGAAGCCAGTAGGTGCAAACTTCGGTGAGCGATGTAAAAAACCAGGATGGTTGATCGAAGGAAAGCGTATCAGTATCACACGAGAAATTCGGACTGATGCTCAACCGTTATGCAACTGCACGCGAACTGGGATACCGTGAGAGATCTCAAACTCGACACACATGCACAACAATCCAAAGACCGGAATCACTACACCATGCCGAGCGCCGAATGGCAATTTTGCTATAGGTAGTGGAGTCCGCATCAGCAGTATGCACTGAGCACCACTTCGTATACTGATATTAACGTCCCCAGAAATAACAGATACAACCGCCTTCTACATCGTGAGTGAATATGGCTTTCCAACAAATTGAGTAGCAAGGATGAATTCAAACGATATCAGCCACTAGGAGCCTTATAAAAGTTGTCAGTAGCATTAACTGGAGTCCAAGGTGGAAATTCCGGCGCTAATGAAAAAAGTTGAGAGAAGAAGCATGAGTGAATGAATTGCTTCTAGGTACCCTCAGTTGAACGACGTTTCATTATCGAGTAATGGCAGTGTTACGGGTGACAGCATTGTAAACGGGGGTTTGCTACATACACAGCATGGTCGACAACGACAGCGGAAGAATCAGACTACATTTAGTATCAGCCAATTGAATCTGTGGCGTTCTCAAATCCCTCTTTAAGAAAATCAGGTTCCGCCATGGATCTTACAAGATGATCCTTAACGCTTTCAAATTGCATCCAACGGGCGTAAACATTTATAAAGGATATGTGTTGTTGCTTGAGTGACCAATTTCAAATAAGCAGATGTGATAACAGAGTTGTATAGGTAGTGGGATGTCATTGATTGATTTGTGTTAGGTCACTCATTGAACCGACGTCTGTCCCCGCTGGATGTAACTTGTAGGTGTTAAGGACCATCATCAAAGATCTATGGAGAAGTATGATTTCCTTGAGGAATATGAAGGTGTACTGAGAAAAGGTCTAGAGAGGAGCGTTGGGTGATCAAAAGTAGGCCGATCTGATACATATGAAGTAGCAAGGGGTTTCCATACAGCCGGCCAGTAGTCTTAAGGATCACAAGCTCGCCTTGTACTCTGAGGATGCGGGTTCGAGCCTGCGTACGCACCGAGGGACCCTCGCAGTATCCTTAGCCCTCGTGTGACTGATGATGGTTGCGCGGCAGCGAAGCGTCGGTAATGGGTGCCGGTGTGCGGCTAACGCCTCTTCTTGCTTCTTTCTACGTAGCAGTTGGTTTCTGTGCTACGATGCGATGACGCTGTTCGCATAGTCTGACCGCCAATTCCGATGTGTACTTTATATCAGGTACCTGCATATCACTACGTTAACCATGCCACCTCGCATGATGGCGAAACGTCTGCAACCAAACACGGCGAACGAATGAACACCTGGACGTTTGACTGCGTTGACACACAACAAGAACGATGCGTGAAATCATGATTAGATCTGCTATTTGTAAACTACATGTGCTTTACGTTGGCACATTTGTAGGCCGTGGCTCAGAAACTCCTTTCCGTGTTATAGGAGACAAACAGAGGGGGATCATTGTGTACTCCTTCGCATTCCATGTGTTGAGTGGATTGTCTGCATTGATGTGTGCTTTTGCAGATCACCTACTATGGTTGGCGGCATCCCGGTTTCGGATTTGCCTGTCACTGGGGTCAGCCACAGGACGCCTGCGCCTACAGAGGGACCATGGATGGCTTGCGCTGCACCACCCACAGCTCCAACCACATACCCCATATCCAGTGTAAACCCGAAGGAATAAGATCGAGAGGCATGCGGATGGGAGCCACGTTTCATCAACGGAGCCGGTCCACACTCCTTCACAGGCAAACATAAGCACGCTGTATTCGGGGAATCAAGTGCACACAAGGCGGTGGCTGGACCGTGGTCCGCTCCACAATGACTGCATGGAACCACTCTTCGAGCCTAGCACGACCACAAGGACCGTGCATCCCGTCCCCTCCAGCAACGACCACCTGTCTCCTGGAGCCAGATGGACGAGGTAGTAGGTAATGAACAGGCAGGCACCTTGTCAACATGCACAGCAAGCGCAGCCACATCTGGGATGTCAAACAACAGCCAATCACACAAAATGCCGATATCAAATAAAGTAAACGCATATGACGACATAAGTACTCGCTAAATAAGCATATAGAAGAAATTGGTTATAAGTGAATCCGTGATAAGTACAAAATGTCCGAGTTATTTAAAAAATACTACGCAATACAATTACGAAAGTTTACCACAATTTGCATGAGCGACGTGTGCAATTTGAGAGAAGATCATCAAGTACGCAGAACGAACCAAATAAAATGTAACGAATTTTATCCACATTAAAAAGACTTAGTTTACGCCATATATATATATATATATATATATATACGTAGAGGTCGTCCGCACCATTGTACATACCAGCCGATGAACCAGTAAACTACCGACCCAGAGCAAAGACTCCTAAGATAATTTATTAGGGGGAGCACACAGGAACAAATAAACCTTATTTCCTGGTATATTTGTACACTGACTACAACTAGTCATTTCCGCAATTTCAGCTCGTCATACTGATGCGGTCCCCTAGTAAATTAAAAATCGTTTCGCCGGATATTAATCATTACCTGCGTACTCATCTCCCGTGCTGCTAAGTTTTAGTTACCTGATCGGCAATAGCATCAAACGAGGCCTATAGTTATGTCGAATATTGTTGAGCAGTGTGAACAGGTATGGAAATGACGCATAAACGTCTCAAACCTTTGAAAAATTCAAGGTAGCTTTCGTCACTTTTTCATCGCACGCCCTTGGTAGCGTACTTCGGTGAAAGCGTTAAAGTACCAGTTGTTGATGTAGCATGGGTCGATCTACTATATATATAGCTACTTATTGACCATCTTAAGCGCTGATGTGCACGGGCGCACGTTGACGTGTCCTCGTGCGGTACCAGCAAAGTGGTACTGTGTTTAAAGTGAACGGAGCCAGTAGTGAACCAGTTGGTGGTTAGCGGTTGTTCGAGCATCGAAACTACAACATAATAAAGGAGATCACCGGAACTAAGATGATACTAATAGCTAAGCCATGTACGCTTCCCATACACGGACATAGCTGATCTTGATGTTCCCAACCAAGAAGATGCAGAGTGGTGACGTGACTACTTCTCAGACTATCTTATGGTCAGCCAAGCGCCCCCCCGGTGAGCAACTTACGTGCACAATTGGCTAACGGATGCAAAGTAAGGTGGTTAGTGTAGGCGGTTCGGCACATCTAGACAGCCCAGATAGAAACAAAGAGCCCAAATGATCGGATGTCGAAGAAACACACACTTTCAAATGTGGTGGGAGGATTTCACACAGTTGTGTCACGTAAGTGTCCAAAAGACCGATGGGGAAACCTCCGAGTCCCAGATCTAAGTGCGTGCTTTCGTACAGGCTAGGGTGCCTCCGCAGCATGCTAACTAGCGTGTAATAGCATGGTGACGAATCACAACTACAAAGCAATTGTGAGTTACCGATGTCAAACGACAGAAGGAAACAAGGATGGGGTGCAAATGGTGAGCATCTACATTAGTGCGCAACCCACAAGGCCGCATTTACACAGTACGTCTGTGGACTCACGGAAAGGGAAGGAAGCTGGAGGCTGGTAACCAAGTAACAAGAACAGCAAGTGTGTCGAAGATAAACAATACAAAACTGACTGTGGTAAGTAAGTAATTCTATCAAATTTTGAGATGAATGGGGCACACCCACCCGAAAGCACAGTAAGAATAATCCCTTTTTATTGGTAGGAAGAGTTGAATGTAAAAGATAGTGCTGATTGCCGAAAACAATGCCAAGCGTCTTCGTTCACGAACCTCATGTGGGGAAAACGCAGAATACCCGGTCCCACATCCTTACACATGTTCCTCACCAAAAGTGATTAGCGTGACAAAGGGGATACGCGGCGCTCACGTGTACATCTTGGGATGCGTGCATATACAAATGCAACGGTTGCCGTGAGGTATACCATTGGAGCGCTTCAATTGTATTCCACTTGACAAGAGGTTATGCAAATGACCAAAATGAAAGTAAACGTCGTCGACCAATCAGCGGAACGGCGAAAAATGGATGACTAAGCCTGGTGCGAAAAATGACATTGTCTGTTCGGCTCGTGGCTATCTGGATGTCCGGCCATTCTACACGATTCCATTCAGTAGTTCCGATTGGCGACGCATAATTCTCACGAAATCTTCGGGTATATAAAACTCGGAACCCTGGTTTTCACAAGTAGGTGAGATTAGCTGTTACATTTTTGAGATAACCGGATCAGATGCAGCTCATTGCGTCCCCATACCGTGAGACACGATGGTATTGTGCGAGGGACAAGTTTGGTTCTCCGCGTCGTGAGTATGAGCACCGTCAAGTGCGGGTGATTTCCAACCGGACAAAACGGCAATTCAGTGTTCGTCGGATATGTGGCGACTGTGAGTGAGTCAAACTGTGAGGAATCTTTGTCAGCGAAGCATAAAAAACCGATTTGCAAACGTGTCCCAGTTAAGACGCACATATGTGAAGTAACTCCGCTAAAATATGCCAAACACACTGGTTATAGTTCGAGCCATCTAACCCAGTGGCACTCAACCTGGGGGTAATTACCCCCCCCCCCAGGGGGTAAAATCGGATTTTACGGGAGGGTGGGGGGGGGGGGACAAATGTAGGTACGAGGAATGGGTCATCCATCTGTCGTCAAAGAACATGATCAACAAAATCATTCGTAGGAGAATAATTAACTAACTACCAAATCATTAGTGTGGAGTCAGTGGGTTAGACAATTTTCGGTAATATAATTTATTGCCGAACATACGAATACGAGCTAGATGGCGCCTCTATCGGCTCGCTCGTCGATGGTTGTTCTTTGAAGTCGTTCCCCGGGGCGAATTACAGAGTTAAGTGAACACTATAGTGAGAGAATAAGTCAGTCGAGCAAGTAAAGGAGCAGCGACCGAATGTTTACAAGGCAAAAGGGACAAAACCGGTGACCGGGTATCAGTGAGTACTCTGGACGCCAGTGTTTCGCAGAAACGAACATGATTGGAACAAATGAGTTGCCAATGACCAGAGAGCACACATCAAACCAAAGAGTCGAATAAACTTGGAGCACAAATCATACTGTGTACATTAAATGAAACCGCACCAAAAATCCCAGAAATGGTTAGAACTCAGGTAAGTGCAGCCGTCTCCTTGACGTAAATCCCCACTTGATTTATTAAAAAATGCTCTAAAACAACTGTACTTTATTTGCATGATAAAAAGTAATTTAAAGCAAAAAAGGCGAGAGATAATTAGCAGTTTGTCAATTTTTCGGTGATTGTTTATGCCGAACCCACTTTGTGAGTAACAACGTCAACCTGGTTGAGAATCGTTGATCTAACCGCATTGTGCATTGTGAAAAAATAATGGGATACTGCATACAAACAATGAACCGTGCTAGACAAAGATGATTGCTATCTATTCAAGGCAGAGTTACACGCCGATCACAAAGGAAAGACAAAGCGAGAATGAGGCCTGGGTGGACAAAATGAATTGCCAGCACAAGTCACACCATGTGTAATTCGACCTCACCAACGAGGCGGACAGATTGTGTGGTACACGGTGACTCAAATCGCACTGAAATGCTTCAGTTGATGCGATGGTTCAGAAGATGTTGGATGTGAGAGCGATCGATGGAGACCGGACAACGACTGCGGCAAACAGACCGACAGGTAAGGTATAAAGCAGGCAGAAGGACAGGAGAGGCAGTGTGTGTGTGTATGTGTGTTTGCAATGTTGACCCTCATAACCAAGGCTTGAAGAGTGGGGTGTATGAGAACAAGGTGAACAGAAGACCACCTGGCCCACCGAAGTAGTGGAAGTAGAATGAATAGACTGGACAGCGGTACACCGGCGGTCAACTTGTAACTAGGTCACACAAGCACACCTATAATGGCATCTTGGCTTCGCACCACTAGGATTACAAATCAAACGGAGCATAAATTACCATGCAACCGAGAGGTACTCGTTAAAATTTAACGTAATGTAGATGCAGCTAGAGACAGTTGCACAGCAATCACAATCGATCCACCGAGACAGCACACATTCTTCATGAACGCAACCGGGTTCGAATGCAGAACCACACACACTCACGAGATCGTGATTACATGTTTACGACTTGAGTCCCTGAATGGCAGGTGACCTCGAGAGCCGTTTTACACTGAGCGCTCACGGATTTGTTTACCGGGGAGTTGATGTAATCGAACGGGCATTTTGAAGCCGTGATTGCATGTGAACGGATTGCGACGTGGAACCCTTCAATGTGGATCGCGATTCTCGTTGAAGTGAACCTTGGACAATTCGATCACTTGGACCGTAACAGATGAAGCAAGTGGACATTGAGTGTCGCCCGCCCGAAAATACTGAAGCGTTTTCGGATGAACAGCACACAATAGCTGTCCATGCCTTTTAAATGATGCGGTTTGCATGACTGAATGGATCTAGTTAAAACGAGAGTATGACATGCGGCACTGACACTTCAATGTTTTGAGCACTCATGTTAGTGGAAGCAAAGTAAGAATTGAGAACAATCCGCAGAGCATTAGCACATCACCGTGACTTACTTGCGAATTTGTCAACCACGAATGGACGGGCCCTGATTCGGCGGTTCAGGCCTAGGACCAACATTGAACCGGTCAGTGGTGACTGTGGTGTGTCTTCGCTGCAAGGCACGTCCACTCAATGCCCGTCGGGATGTGCGTTCAACGGGAGCAGCGGGGAGTTCTGGCATCGAGGCATCGGTGATATTCAGGCTGGGCAGGTCTCCTAGCGAGCGTGAAGAGCGAGCATTCGAGCATTCAGGGCTGTGAAACACAGGGAAACGAAAAAGAGAAACGGACGGCGCTAAAGACGATGTCAGACAGATTGAAGCTGTAGTTGGCTGGGCGCCATAACATATGAGCAGGAACATGCGGTACAAGCAAAAAAAGGACTACGAGATAGTGAGGAGCAGAATGAGATCTCACATGTCTGTCAAACCACGGCTAAAGTTGTACTTTGCGCCTTCATCCTCCGATCAAGTCCCCAAATGGCAACCTTGGACGAATTTGGTGCGCACAAACGTCACGGCGAGATAACCGCTGAGCAAGTATACGAAGCATGTGCTCAACTCATCGAAGTCGGTGCAGTGAAGTAAGCAGCTCGACAGATTGGTCGACTGGGAAATTTGCAGACGAGGAACAGCACGGAACATCAGTAATGCTCCGAAGGCAGCACTGACCAAAACCACGCAATAATTGAAGCATTTCTTGGGTGAAGAGGCCAAGTCTCACAACTATGGGGTAGAACCGCTCGCTGTACAATGCTGTGGACTCCAGTCTATATTAGGGGATCGGGTCGACGCCAGAGTAGCTAAAGCAACTCGAGCTTGAGATGCGATGGGAAACGTTGTGCTTTAAGCCGTTAACGTAAAATCAACTCCAGATGTAAACGACATTGTCGACCAATGACAGAGGATAACTTGAAGCAGTTAGAGTGGAGTTGTTACAAATCTGTTTTTAAAGTTTGAACGGAGAAGTCTTTCTGAACTGGAATCCACACTCCTTGGACGGCCAGTGAAAAATCAATAAACTAAGGTTATCCCGTCAACATACTCCAAATCGCGCAGTCGGTCCTCTGGAAACAGATGGATACCACAAAGTTCGTAGTATACAACAAGACTGTCCGGTATGTCAACCGAAGCAAAGTGGGATAAGAAGAGTGATGCTGGGAAGACCTACCTCTTGCAAGTGGTGATACTGAAAGCGGCAAAACATTACCTCATATCCGCATTCTTCTCGAGGCCTGTGACCAAATGACTCGAAGAAGGTTGAGATACTTCTCAGACATCTCCAACTGTTGTCTAAGAGGACAACGATAGTTGGTCGACCGAACTTATGATGAAGATCAAAGATTTACTGGGTAGTAAAAATGTGACCAGTGCAGTTTCGACCTGAGCGTATCAACGCTTGATCTGCGTGTGCCCAATTGAGACTCCTTAAAAGAAGAATGACGAGGTATTTGGTTGTAATGCCCGATAATTAGCGCAATCTGTTCGTTGCTCTTTTAGAGGATGGGTTTGTGTCAAACGAACAACGCTTGCTGGTGAGCAAAACAAGTGGTCCCAAATTGGGACGTGGTGCGTGTGCACGCCCTGAAACAACAAAAAGTAGTGGGGTCAGCAGGTTCAATAAAATGGTACAGTTACAGTCCAGTATTTGGTCAGTTTGAAAACATCGCGTCATTAAGACTAAATCAGAAAACAACCAGTGTGGAGAGCGGCACCTAGACGAAACGAACAGCTTACCCCGACCACATGGTCAGCTCTCTTCAAACATTGCATAGATGCTGTGACTGGACAACGTTAAGGCAACATATTGTCAAAACACGCGGATAAAGAATGGCACCGGATGTTTTTAGGTCAATGAATGGCGGAGTTGGGTTACCAGCTTTCGCATGATGCATGGCGACCTCAATTCGCTAGATTTCAAGTTGATGATTGCGATTAGGACAATGGTGATGACAAACAGGGCGCGATAGAGGCTGCAAATCCGGTAGGTGGACCATCGGGGCAAATGCAGAGAAAATCTATTCCCGAATCCGCAGATTGCATACCGATGAAATTGTCCGGCAGAAAAAAACCGGGGGTAAAAAAGTGAAATACATCTCCATGGTGGTTGGAGAACGAAGAACTGAAAGCCGCATAAGATGTGTGTGCATCGAAGAGGGAGATTGAAGCGATGGGAGATGGGGAACAGAGAAGTAGCGAGACTCGCAATTGCATGCAGTAACTATAGGGGAAAGAATAAAGGCCACAGGCGGATAGCGTGCGAGGCGGAAGTGATTGCTGAAAGTGACGAATAGAGCGTAAAAGGAATGCGGGATCCGGATTGGTTACTTGAAAAGAGCCATCGGATCATGGTGGAGGACAGAGGAACCTGAAATCGCAAATTGAACGGGTGCTCATGCATATGGAGTATAAATGTGTGGCCGAATGCGAAGAGTGTGGGGTGTAAACCGGAAATGGACGAGACCCACGACGATTCGATGATGGCTCGTTAGAACCAGTCGACTGCCTTGAAATGTAACTCCGAACTAGTAATGTTTTCAGATGATCGAGATGCTTCACGGAATCGCACAGTCCTTGTTTCCTTCACATACTACCTCTCCGTAACCTATGAGGGACGTCGCCGTTACCATGCGAAGTTGTGTGAAATGCAGTGATAGTCAATTGGTAAGGTGATAAAATAATTTCAAGAGACTCACCGAAAGGTTGCGCATTGCGGGCACTTATCGCCTATTCACAAGTGGCTGCACATCCTACCATAAATGGCGCAGTTGCAAAGCCCCCGGCATATTGGCATTCGAATGCCATATCTCTGAATCCTAACTGGTCCAATGCTCCTTGATGCACAGAGCACTGAATTCAAAGGACTCTGTTGTGGTCCAGGTGATGGACCCGGTGCAACTGAACCCTACTAATCTATATTGTGTCCCTGTGGCTCCAAAGGAATTCAGGCCATCTCAGGTGGATTGCAATCCTTATTTTCAATTCAGCACAACTGATCAGTGACTGCTCTTTAACCGCACTGGGGTTTCTGATTCAGGTTCGGCGTTCAAACAAGCCAACTATACGAATGTGGTGCAGTGACCGCCATACCTGTGCAGTCTTATCAGCTGTTGGAATACGTGCAGTAGTGCAAGGAGGCTGTCACTCATCCCGACGGCGTATCGGGCCACTCGCGTCCATGCGAAGCAGACTACCAGTTCACAAGTAGGCTGAATGTCAGTCTCAAAATACCCACAAATACGGCGTAGAGAGAAGCGTACCAGCGATAAAAGGAGCCCTATTCGGCCACACACAAAGAAACCAATACAAGCAATTCGAAAGGACCACAAGATGTGGCCGAATGCACTTTGCTTTGCAATATGCTGATGCCGCGTCCAGTAGACCAGAGGGAACGGAGATGTACATTATGGGTAAAGTAGCCGATATCGAACAAGTTCAAATGTGCAGCCAGTGTGAGACAGAAAAATGCGAAAGCACAAATTGGTAACAAAATGAAGCGCGTGCCGACGAACTCACTATGGCATACACTTGGTCGTAGATGTGAGTACGCTAAGTCAAATTTCATGTGGCTGTGTTATGTCATCGCTCAGAGAATAAGGGGATATTATAACAGGTCAAGTAACTGCGTTTGTGTGTGCTTGCAGGGTTCATTCCCTAGGACGATATCAGAAGGTAGGTGACGCTCGTGTGAGATCACACGCAGATGACGGACAAGTGAGCGTCACTCATCAGCCAAATGATTGCAACCCGAGATCATACAATGGAGCACAAACTTGCACCGGTCCCCGGAAATGCAACTGTGGTTTTGGATTCAGAAAGCGTTGGTGTTGGCTTGTGCACGGGATTCGGCCATTTATGAATACTTACAAGGCTGCCCCTCTGTTAGAAGACTAACATGAGGATAGAGTCCCCTGCAGACACCGTTTGCTGTGTACTGGTTAGGCTCGCCCAGCAGTCAGACCACAGTGGTGTGCTGTCAGAACGCGTTCGAACACCGGTTCCATGAGGGAAGAAGCCACACAATTGGAAATGTGTTCCGCCGCTAACACAAGTGGGGAGAAGAAGAATCTATCACCATAAATACATTAACCGGTCGTCTACCAAGTTTTCTGAAATGATGACTTCCCGATCGGTTCCAAATATGTTCCAAGATATTGAATCCAGCGAGAACACAACCAGATGGTCCTATGAAAATCTTAAACTTGTGGTCCCTCATCTTTAAGTTTTGCTTACGAGTCGATGAGTGACGGTAAACATGACTGTTTTTGAGGACACTCTGCAGACACCGACAGTGACCGCCGCACACTCGCAGGCATTTCAGTCTAGGTTGGCAGGGGAGGTGAAATAAACCATTTGAACCGGCGGAAACGTGAATTCTACGATAGTATGGACTCAATACTTTACACCTGAATATATAAAACAGGGGCATGTTCTGGGCCAACCTAAGGTAAACGTCGTCCAAGTCACTACCCAATACGTGCTGTGCCATCCCTATATAGTCTTGGAAAGTCTCCAGAGTTTGAGATCAGCAGACAATAGAGATGAGTAACCGTGCGGAAATAAAAAATAAGTGCGGTTCCAGGTGGTAGAATTCTATACGGTTACATAGGGCGATATGAAGATATGAAGGTTACTTGCGCAAGATATTGGACAAGGTAACCGATTACTACTCCACATCCGGCAATACAGCGTTCCAGAGATAAACAATTGCAAGCCAATCCAGGCACTAGGTAAGTGAACCATCGGGGCTCAAGAATTTTCCGCAACAAACCTCCAAGGTCTTTGAGTTCTATCACTTAATGTGCAACATGTCTGTCTTAACACAGTGATTATTAGTATGGCTTTCCGAACAACCTCCTCATGGTGCCAGCTGGGTGGTTCGGGAATTTCCCGTTCCAGCAAATAGTTAGACGGCAGTATTCCAGGACGTGGTGGGTTTTCGCCTGGTAAGCGTTCTCCCTATAAAAAGCCACATATGTCAGTTTAACAACACTGTGACGTGGCGCTTGTGACTCACCACCAAATAAAGTCAATGCTCCTTGCTTCATGCTGTCGAGGCATTGTATTCCAGCAACTTTGTGCTGTAATTCTGGGGAGCATTGGGCCCCTGTTTGACAAAGGAACAGACGAAAGGCGTATGAACTGAGCAATCAGTCACCGGCTCCCAATGGGCGCGATTCCTTGGATTCGCTCCGCTGCCTTGCGGGCAGGCTATTCAGCCAAAGGTTCGGGGTGGTGTCCCCTAAGTCAACACCCTACTTCGGCTTGGGCAACCGGATAGTATCTCGCCGTCTGACGAAACCATGGACTTTGATGTGTTGTGTCGTGTTTGCTTTTACTAATTCTGTACCTTGTTTTGAGTCCCATGGTTTCTGTTGGCTCTTGTCTATTCATAGACTGTTGCTAAATATATAGGTAGAAATTCGTCACATCTAGACTCCGCCTACTACTCCTCTGTAATCAGTACGCAGACCAAACTGCTTATAATGCCATAAGTTAATTAGCGGCTTAAGTTTCGTAAGCTCGTCGCTTGGTGAGATGAGGGTGCTACACTGTCCTCTGCACGACAGTAACGTGTAAGTCAGTGGATAGTGAGTGGCGCTATATCGCATCTACTACCTAATTCACGATGGTCATCGCAGTCACCCGTGGCTCAGTGGTCTTAACCACGGAATGGCAACAGTCCGATGAAATGCGCATTGCTGACGATTCCCGAAAGGATGAAACGCGCGTACAGTGCGTTTTCGGGCGTGTGACCGCTGTCTGAGTGAGTCTAGATGTGACGATTGTCTACCTATACCATTCAACTCCCCCCGTACTACTCCAATGTAAACATTGACAATTCCTGAGTGGGGACATAACAAATGAGTCACATGTCATTCCCGTTAAACTAATTCGACAGCATAGCACCGGCCTTGTCCATGAGAGGAGATCTAAGTCAGGGGTTACGAATTTCCATCGTGTGGTTCATTGTGACATGGAAAGAAGGACATGATGTGACAAGTGGGAGTGCGTAGTGCATTTTGACCTGCCAAGTTCAGTCAAAAACATCTGACTAGCCAGTACTCGATTGCGACCGCTTTCAGTAAGGGTTGTCGAGTAGCCAGTTAGGCGCTCAAGACAGAAATTCTCCGACTTCGAGTGTCGTGTGATATTAGAAATTCAGAGATGTGAATCTGATGCTCTTGTTCAGTGGAAGTTGTGTAATGTGGTAATCTGAGGCGGGTGTCACGGGATCTAAAAAAACGGAAAATCGTGCAAACAACCATAAGATTGGATGAAGCACACACAACGTAGGAGCTCACTTTGTTCGCCGACAAGGCGCTGGACCTTCCTGAACTGCTCCAAACTCATTAGTGCGTGTGAATGCGGCAGTACACACGGAAAACGGGACCGGTTCAGGGGAAGTGGTGGACCCCAGCCGAGGAGCAAAGGTGCCATACGGAAGCTGAGCCTTGGGAGAAATAAAAAAAGGCAAGCAGGTAAGAAAGGATCGAACTTAAAGAGGAACAGGTCTCGTTTCTAGATGATCACAAAATGCAGTAGAGATGAAGATAAGATTTCACAGAGTAATACGACTCAGAGTAGACATGTCAGGCATGGCGGATCGTGTCTGTGTCGAGATCGGGACACAAACGTTGATCGAAGTGGTATCATTCGCATCTCGGGGGAAAACAGAGAGATAAACCAGCGAATGACTTATTGATAGTTCCAGCGATACGTTCGACCCTACTGTACGGTTGTGAAACCTGGCCGCTTAAAGCAGCGGACCTGAACAGGCTAGTTACGTTCGACCACCGGTGCCTTCGTAATTTAGCTCACATATGGTGGGAACACCACGTGATGAACAAGCGTGTTCGACGCCTTGTTTACGGCACAAGAAAAGGAAATGAACCGCTCAGCACCGTCATTTCACGCACCAGGCTCCGATGGCTCGGCCGCGTGTTACGCATGCCAGCCCACCGACTCCCGCGACGTGCGTTGTTTGCGCGTCGGGGGTGTGGATGGAAGAAGAGAAGGGGTGGCCAAGCGATGACTTGGTTGAGAGGAATGAAGACCCTCACTTCTGAGATGGCCTCGGTTGGAGCGTCTCGGCTCCCTGGTTGGGGTCCGAAAAACAATGAACACGCTTGGTTGGACACATTTGCTGATATGGCTAGGAGCCGACCTCAGTGGCGTTCGTGCTGTGAGTTTCTTTGTCCCACCCCATCCCTCTTAGCCTCTTCCTCCGACCACGATCTCACTATATAGCCTTTTATAATTTGCATAGTAAATTATTTTTTCTGTTGCATAGTAGCTGGCAGGTAGCTTACCGGAACGATGCCCATCCGTTACCGGTAGCTCAGCTGGCTTGCACCAGTTGCATTTTTTCTCTTTTTCTATGTATTGCGGCACAGTAGGTGTTTTCTAACTCTAGCTAACGTGTATGATGAGGATGATGATATTGCTAGTTCCGGACAATGATCACAGATGACGACAGAGAGGGAGCGGTTATCGCATCCCAGATAAATCGATCAGCGGCGTGTGTACACCGCATACAAAGTGGTCATAATGCGTCGAAACATAGACGAATTCATAAACAGAATTACAAAATTATCCACTACATCTATCTATGGAGGTACCCATCGATCGAACGCCCAAAACGGCTTTCAAGACAACATGCTACAAAAGAAGTATATCGACTGGGACTTGAGTAAACTACCAGTGGCCAAGTCATCGTCATTCTCATGAGTAGAATTTGATACTTACCACAAGCTCCGCAGTGGGAGTTCTGTCACCGGTGCGCTGATACGATGGCAGCGCAGCATCACATGTAGTATGAATAGCCTGGGTAGGTTGACTGGAAAGCAGGCGAGAAATAGACAACAAGAGTAGTGAGGGCTTTGATAAGAATTATTATTAAAACCAAGACAAGTAATCCGATGGAGATAGATCACAACCCACTGAGTGAGTAGTGCATCCTTGCAAAAGTAAATGGAGGTCTCACTGAAGGCTGAATCCGTCGGATCCTCGGAGGTCAAAATAGGACACATTACTAAGTAGCAATTGCACCGTTTATATGAGTGGATTTTTGGTATCGAAATTCCCCCGATGGGACCAATGCAGAGTCATCGATGGATAGTTTGTTGCGTGTAGAGGAATCTTCCATAACTCCCTTCCATTCCCGTTATTCAACAATTTCATCCGACACCAGAAAGACGCGTTATTGATGAAAAAATGCAGAACGTGTGACTTGTGTGTGTGTGTGTGTGTCAAGGTTAGGTTTGCAGCAACATCGAAATCACAGGCATAACAATTTTGAAACAATGGTACTTAAATGAACACCAATGAATGCGTGAAAGGTTACGTTTCTAATATCGAAGCACCTGTTAACGTGAAGTAACTCCAATCTGGTCGCGTTATTCGTACACAGGCGCTTAATGTCGCATGCCATGTGATAGCCCAAATGCCGATTGTTTTTCCCTCTTTGGTAATTTGGTGCAAGTGCACACAAATGCCTGCCTCGCACAATCATTTGGTGTGTGTGTGTGTGTGTGTGTGTGTGTGTGTGATTGTGATTTAGTGAATCAGGTCACCTGGAAAGCGAAGTATGCAGTTTTAGCCATAAAGATTGATTGTGCGGAAGCCGATCCGCAAGGTACGTGAGAGTTTTATCGGTAATGGATCAACTTAGTGGGCTGTATTTAGTTAGGTCCAATGGGAAAAGTGTAGTCGTTCGGTGGAGATATCAGAAGGTCTTTAATTCGGTCGGGTACACAAGATGGCAGCGGTGGTAGCTGACAACCCTATCAGTATCAGACAAAGGTAACGAACTGAGTTCTCCAAATACCGTGTGCATCACAAATTTCTTCGATGTTTCAATTGGCACTGAGTAGAAGAAGTTACCAGTACGCCAGTATTTCGCGCCGACGCTTTTCTGTTGTGCCACCGGCAGCAGCCACATGGAGGCCGGGATCTACGGCGAGGTCGCGCATGTCCATGCAGACGCCAACCGGCTACCTGTGCATTACATGTCAGATGGGTAACTCAGTCAACCACCCGTCCGTTCCATAGATATATTGCCAATGTCCGAAATGACAGTAGAATATCCAAGAAATTTGGTCCGAATTGCTATTGCATGGGGCACACATAGTCGACACTGGAAACCAAGTAACAATTTACTGACCGTACTAAGCAGCGGTTTAACACGCAGTTCCTTACGACACAATAGTGATAGCGACCGCTGGTAATATCTACACCTAGTACCGAATTCGCAGTTCGATTCAGTCCACACAAAAGCGAAACGGTTCATGAATGTTGGGAGTGGTAGGCGGTTGAATCTAACATCATTTGTCGGTCCTCTGTGGGGTTGAATACGCAAATTTTCGAGACAGCAGTACATAGTCGAATGTAACAAATGAGGCGCAGACAGAGACCGCCGCGAATAAGGCCGTGCTGATAGATTACTCGCATCTGACAAAGAGTACTATTCGTGAAAGGTGGTCACGCGCTGTGACAGGTGGACACACCGGGATCTTGATAGCGAAAACAAAAAGCACAAATGTTGTAGCATCCAAACCGAGCGCGCAGTGAATAAGGGGGAGGTTATAAAATGACCAAAACGTCTAGACAACTCAGTCCGGTACATTAGTGGGTGCGATCAGAAGGCGTTGAAATCGTGGACGCTCGATGCACACGAATGAGCAGTGCGAGGTGTCGTTGTGTGCTCCCGACCAAATCAGCCAGGTGACCGGATCGATGGAGGGAGGGCATTCAGCACGACATTGATAGAAAGCCCTCATTACACAGGATGTGTAGACGGAACCAGTGACTCCTTTAGCATGGTATCGTAGTGCTTGGCGAAAACAATGTGGATACAGAGTTGACTATGCCTGACCGCTACATTCATGGCATTGCGAGTAATAGAAAGAGTGAACTCAATCGAAGCACACAGAGATCAATCACCGAAACCATGAGCTCTGTTTAGCACAACATTGTCCCACGCACTACCAGAAGGGATCAGTTGTGGAAACTTGGATGAAAGCAACCAAATGGGTTTAGAATGAAACTCCAGCTACAAAGTTGACGGCTACAAGAGCATGTGTTATGGGATGAGTAATGTATGGAAAAGTAATGAAATGCCGATCAATAGGTATTATTCCGGGACATGTGTAGAGTGGAACAGGCAGATAATCGACAACAGCAATCACGTACCAACTAATAATTCGCAGGACTGGTGATGAATGGGGGCAGTACGAACACCGGACATAATAAAGACAGATAATCGTTACGTCCTACCTCCTCCCAGCGTTGACAGATTCACCGCGTACTAGTGCAGACACAAGTGGGGCATAGGCAATGTTAAAACTGGGTCCCTCCACACACACTTACACTCGTGTACACGCAATCGCTTCGGTTAACAGTTGGAGTTAAATTTGTCAATTCTAGCGGATATCATAGAGAAGTACTCCACCCATGTTAAATGAGTTATCATCTAGATAAACTTGAAACGCTTAGTATTTGTTAGGTATTCTACACCATGTTGCACTTAGCCTGATCTTGCAATACGATGAGGTGGCAAATTTGTTTATCAGTAGACCATAACCTTTAGCTTTATAGCACAAAACAAACTTCGTTTTCGTGTTCCTGTCGGATTACGTTAACTTTTCCATCAGCATATTTCCGTACATCTGTGGCATGCACAAAAAAGGATAAAGTAGTATTTAATGCCAACAGCTCAAGCCACATGTACTAGACACTGAGAAATTCTCCGGATTCTGATCACTGTTAAAATTTCAGGGGGCTAAACACCTAACCGGCTTCGTTAGGGAGACTAGGGTGTACATGTACACTAACCATTGGCTAAATATTTGCGCAAATATACCAACTGGCCGTTCTCAAGCCCTTCTTCAATCAGGAGTGCCCGATCGATTTTAAGCACTTTTTAAGACGCCAAATGTTCGTTATCTTCACATTCTACATCAGTCTCGAAATACGATTGACTTCTACTCTAGTGAAGTACTCTCGTGTGGTTCCATTATATGAGTTCTAGATCACTTGAAGGATGTTTGTGAGTAGCGTAAGGTTCGTAGAAAGTGGACGATAAAAACTAGATACAATAATCTGCCTCAACGAGGAATCGAATCCCGGTCCCACGAATTTTCGGTCCGCCGCTCTACCACTGAGCTACCGAGGGCTGACGCTGAGGTGCGCAATTGGACGTAGGTGTGAACTTCCGTCATTCGTTTTGCACCTTAAGCTTGACTGGTTGCACTCACTGTTACCTATATCTATGCATATGGGTTGTTGTTAATGGTACTGAGGAGACAATACGTCATGCACCAAGCAGAAGTCATGTATTAAATTGCGCACCTAATCGTCAGCCCTCGGTAGCTCAGTGGTAGAGCAGCGGACCGGAAATTCGTGGGACCGGGGTTCGATTTCTGGATCATTCAATACGTATACAGCGGATGCATTCTGTGCCATTCCGCGACACTAGGAGAAAAATGATTTCCTCACACAAAATAAGGAAGAATCTGAAGAGCACAAACCAATCCTGGGCGAATTCCGAGAGCGGAAACCGACAGATCTGGGAGTATTTCGTTGTTGGAAAATATGCCAAAGTCTACGATGATATTAGATTAAATACACTGGTGCTAATGGATGGAAGCCAGTTTAAAATTAGAACATGAATCACACGCAATTCTCTTTCTGTATTTCATTGTGCGAATTGTACGTGTCGTTAACTCTGTTCATGAACGTGACATGTTCTGTTCAAGCTGTCGGCAACTGCCTTTGTTGTATACCCTCGTGCTGCAGCTAAACACTTCGCTACGATCAAACTACCTCTATTAAGTCAAGTCAAAATAGACATTATGCACCTGATTAGATACAGTTTCAGTAGTTTACACTACCACTGAGAATGAAGAACTACATAAGATTAATGGATAAAAACAAATAAATGGCCTAATGCAAAAGGTTTACGTAACACTTTAGCAAACAACTGTGCATCACACCGATGAGTTTCGTTGAATCCATAAGTAATCGTGACAAGTAAGGTGGGACAGAATTGTGATGAAAAGCAGTACGAGAAAATAAGATTCCAAATTTAGAGCATGTGGAAAAAACATATAGCGCTTTCGACAGAGCTCCATCCAGTGAATGAAAAGGGTCGTTGAGAACTTTAAAGGAAAACCCAGTACAATAAAATAAACAAATGCCTCTCCAGACACTCCAGTGCATCTAGAAATAAGTTGTAATAAACTTAAAAGTAATATGTAATAGTATTAGTAGCCCAAGAAAAATTACTGAGGAACAGTAAAGCTAGTGAGGCAGAATGCAGGCGGTCACAAATTTAGAAATTAAATCATGTGGTACCGAAAACATTCTAAATCAGAGAGCATAAAAGGATAGCCTTCTAACCCTGTCATGGGTAGACCAAGATAGGTTTTGGGGTAGAAAGAAACTTCAAGATATTTGACAGCTGATGTCCTGGATATGAGTTGCTCACTGACTGCCAGTGAGGAAGTGACATACGAAAAAGTTTAAAGCTGATCAACCCGGAGAAAAGAGAATTACATTTGGCACAGTAGTTAGTTATATATGCACATGATCAGTGTATGTACTAGAGCAGTGGATTTTGCAAAAAGCCACGACAGAGCGGCCTACGTGGTCGGTTGGGTCGCCTCAAACTACCGTGCGTAAGTGTGGAACACAGGGCAAAACAATATGATAGCAGCAGGAGGAAAATGTATGTTGACAGCACAAAAACATTGCGCACCACGACGCGGTTCGATCTCATTTGATCTCACCAGGTGGAGAGGGCCGGCCTCGTAATCTAGTCATACAATGTGCACTTTAAAATGATCGTCCAATCAATATGATAGTATAGCTAACAGTGGGTGCAACCAGACAAGCTTAAGGTGCACAAGTTGTACGTCACAAGTTGTCGTCATCAACCGAACCCGAAATTTGCCCATACCACCGACGAAGGAAGCTCAGCCTATTGAGGCCAACTCACACTGTGTATAGCAATTTGTATGTGACCGCGAAAACAATTACATAGGCAGAACTTATAGAACGCTGACTTCCCGAATAAAGGAATATGTACCAAGATGGGTTCAACGTGAAGTTGCTCAGATTGCCTACCCTTGTCAGATTCCATGTTTGTACAGGCCTCCGGCTTCCTCGATAAGGAAACACCTATTAGATTCGGGTCACCAGATAGAGCTGGGCTCAGCGTTTAAAGTTGTGTTACGTCACACTAATCCCCGCTTCCTTCGGTTTGCTGAGGCTGTCGATTTAAGCCGGATTAAGCCAGCCTTGTGTGCTCAGAAGCAATTATTTGTCAGCCTAAAGCTGTCTTGGACGTAGGTGTGAACTTCTGTCATTCGTTTTGCACCTTCAGCTTGTCTGGTTGCACCCACTGTTAGCTACATCTATGCATATCGGTTATTGTTAATGGTACTGAGGAGACAATACGAAATGCATGTATCTACCAGCCTTCGTCTTTTTTCCGGGCTTTTCAAATTGTTGAAGGGAACTAACTGCTTTAAATATGATAGTAGGTTACAAATTGTCTCCGAGGAAACAAAGTGAAATAACTACATAAACATTGATTTTCATCCCATTTAATGACCCGCCCTGCTGCACCATCATTCCATGTACTGGAGTGGACATGGGGGAAAGAATCACCTCTACACACAACACAATCACACAAACAATGGGGTGCATGTGAACGCAGACAGAGTTGTCGGAATACTGGGCACACTAATCGAGCCTGTCCTTGTGGTGCCGAACAGAGTTAGCACAGGAATGGTTGGCAGAAACCGTTTGAATAGGAGTGACCCGCAAATAGCGAGACGATAAAGTAAGCTAAAGATGGTGTGAATGGAGACGGGAACAGTACAGTGGTACCTAAACGACTGAACACAATAGAGACAGCAGGCGAAATAAGTGTGAAGCATACCTTGTCCGCGATGCGGCCGGCGCCCTCTTCTCGGGTTGATCTATGGCCAGTTCAGTAAACAGCTGATCACACAGAGCATGCACTCTGGAAGCCTGAAATAAGAACGGAGGTAGAGAAAGGCACAAATAAATGCCTTGGTAGATAAAATATAGGCGGATAACCAACATATCTCCAATCGCCATACGCCAGGTTCAGCACAGCTAGAGTACATGAAGAAACTCAACAAGTGCCTTGTAATAATCAACCCATAAATTTATCATGACAAATGAGAGGAATAAGCTACTCTCTTGGTTCAGATTGAGTTGTACGGTCGAGGGTGTCGGGATCGGCACAAATAATTGTTTCGCGTGTTTGTACGATAGATATCTGACCCGAATTGAAGGTGTATGGTCTAAAACGACTTGTATGTGTCGAACTTCCGTGCAGCTCGATTGATAAACGAAGAGTAGAGTACCAAGGAGCGGGGTTCAGTTGCATTGGTGCATGTCACTTGAAAAATAGTAGCAATAATAGGTGGTAGTGGTATTGATAATAATGACAGAAAAGTTGCCCACACTATACAAATCAGTTGATTTCAAAACTTGCTGAAATCATGTGTTCTCGCTCCGTTCCAAGCATTTATCAAGATGTTAAGTGCGTTTACGGACCTCGCGTTAGGAAAGTGGCAGGTGAATTCATTCGATTGGCTGGCTTTGAAGCTGATTAAGAGAGTCATCGCATTTTCAATATCTACGTCCTCAAAAACAACATCATTCCCCAGAAACTCGTAGCCAAGATACAGGACAACTCAAACGTTGCCAAAATAGCTTTCAACGTAAGTAAAGCATTCTTGAAGCAACGGATTTATCTGACGATTCGAGGCCTGGATGAAGTCCGGTACCACGCAAATCGACTGGAGTTGTAGACAGATAGACATTACAACAAAGCTTCGGATGTTATATAGATGTAACGGAGGAGCACAAAAGGAACACTAATCCGTTAGTTCTATCAAGTTCAAGTTCATGTGGGACAGGAACAGTATGAAAATCTCGCGAGGGTTCCATCTTGGAAAACGTCGTTGATCCAACAGGAAAACCGGTGCATTGATGGGCCAAAGGAGAACCAAATCAACACACACCATTCACATGATCAAGCAAAAAATGCCCACGTGTTCAGTCCCCGCTGTGCCGGTCACGTGAAGAATAAAAGAAAACAGTAGTGTCAGTAAAGGAAAAGAAACAGAGGAGAGGACAAGTTTATCGAAGTTCGTAGGCAATATTATGATGCAAGTTAAAATGAGTTAAAGAAGCCTTCCCTTCTTTGATGTCTGTACATAGCAGGGCCACCGGTCGAACTAGAGGGCCTGGATCTAGCAGAAGATATTATAATTTTGCTACTAGTTCAGATACGATGTTGAGTGAGATAAACCGTAAATTACTGGAGAAGGATTCGAGATAGATCATCAATCACTCCAAGATGATAAGAGCCGAAATTTTTCCTACTGTTAACGCCGCTTTAACGAAGTTATCCGTTTCAACGGGGCTGAGCACATTTGTGCATAATTTGTAAAGATTATCAAATTACCGAGGACATGGGAGCCGAATTTTGCGCTAGTTGAAAGTGCCGCATTAACTACCTTACAAAATTGGAATATTATTATTATTATTATGTAGTAGTATCACAAAAGCCGATAAATGCAGTGATGATGAACAAGTCGGATTATTCAGACAAAGAGGGATAAGCTCCTGGTGGCGGAACCATATGAGGCAAATCGAAAAAGGCACTGTCACGCCAGTGATGAATAAAAAAAGACGGAGGTTGGTACTTAGTTAAGCCTTTCTGCCTAAGTGATTCCATTTAGTATCACTACAGCTTTTGATTTTTTTTTACCGCAAACGATGTGACGGATGTTCCCAAATGTCATCGTACGACGTAGTTACGGGACCTTGGCGATAGGGACTGGAGGTTTCCCGTTTCAGTTCAAACTAGGGCGCGAATGGAGATTTCATCAGGTTGCTGACGTACACAGGGCGTTGCGTCTATCCGACCCCTTGGAACTGTCCAAAATTATTTCAAGTATGTATTTTACGTAAACATCTTGCCAACGTCAGTATTTTATTACTTTTGTAATGGAAAAATAATGTGCGTCTATTAGGAAATAGAACATAACCTCACAAGTTGAGTATCTTTAAACCAAAATATAGTGATTCCATTTAGAATCAATAGTTCATCTACATGTGAGTAGGTGGAGCTTTTTGTTTATAAGGGACTTCATGGGTATATGGCGAATTAGTTGGTTTCTTATGCTGATTTCTATCACTTGCAAAGTGTTTTGTGAGGGTGAACTATAGAATATATAGATTCTAAGTGGATAGTGAATGTGTTGTAAGATATAATTATGTATTATTTTTCTGATATAAGATTTAGGAGGTTTTATATACTTTGCGAGCTATTGTCTGTCACAATGTAATAGTATTTTGACATCTTTCTACTTTTAGCATTTGTTGAGGCGATTTGCTCTCGAGCAAGCCTTGATACTTCTAGGGGATGTCTGAGGTTGCCGATTATGACTTTCAAGATGTTTCAGATGAGGAAGTGGCATTGGCAGCAGCTGTTCGGAGCAGATTTTTGAAAAATGGGGAAGTCGCAGCTGAATGCATACACTTACAGCATTCCTGCAGAAATTCATTCAAGAAATGATGGTGAAAGTGAAGAAGAAAAGCACACTGATGAAGACGACACATCTCTTGAGGTGCGAGTCGGAAGGCAAAATGAAGCCGAGCCTCCAGTACATGAGATGAGGAATAAATGTTGGCGATACAAAAAGATGGAACCAGTACATGAGACGTATCGTTCCAACTTTTCAAATCCTCCAAATGAAGACGAGTCCATTGAATTACTTTGAAAAATTTATAGATAGCGGTATCATTGAAAATTTGGTTGATCCAACAAACCTGGATACTACACAAGAAACACAGAAGTCTATGAACACAACAGTGATTGAAATGTGCCAATTTATTGGTATTCATATTTATCTGGAGTTGTTCATATGCGGAAATGTAGAATATACTGGGATGCTTCTACGCGGTACACATGTCACGTGATCGGCTCTGCAACCTGATGAACTACTTACATGTTAACAATAATAATAATAATAATAATATGGCTCCAAGGGAACCTAATGACTATGAGAAACTGTACAAAATCAGACCTTTCGTGGAATCTCCGAGGAAAAATTTCTGAAAATTGTACCCGAGGAATATAATCCAGTGGATCAGATGATGATACCACTCAAGTCCCACAATTCCATGCTACAATATGTGAAGAGCAAACCCCACCGATCCGGTAGCAGGGTATTGACACGGGCTACAGTAAGCGGGATTGAAATTTATGTAGCAAAGGGATAAATGTGAAAGATAGTCCTTTAGACATAAGTGACAATGTTGTCCTTAGGCTAGTTGAAGTTTTGCCTAAACACCAGAATCATAAATTATTTACTGACAACTGGTTCATCTCATTTGATCTGGCTGTGGAAGTAGAGAAGTTGGGAACTCACGTGGTGGGGACTGTCAGAAAGAGTAGGTTGGCAGACTGTGTTTAGGAGAGAGATGCCTCACTGAAAAAGTGTTTCAGATGTTCCTATAATTTTAGAGTTGCAACCAACGAAAATGTCATGCTGGTGAGATGGTTTGACAATAAGGCTGTGCACACGATCCCCACTTATAAAAGTCACGAGCCCGTTAAAAATGCGAGAAGTTGGTCTGTTGCCACTAAGTAGTATGTGAATATCCTTAACCCAACTATTGTAAAAAGTACAACACATTCACGGAAGGCGTTGATCTGGACGACATGCGTGTTCAGCTGTATCGTAACAACATCAAGAGTCGTCGAGTCTACCTAGTAATAATATTTTATTTCATAATTATGGCATATGCGAATGCAAGGCTTTTGTAAAGGAGAACCTGTGATCAAGAGAAAGAAAAGCATCAATCACCAATTTCGTTTGTGTGTGACAGTTCCTGCCCTTCTGAAAAGGAGAACGACTGAAAAAGAGGGCGACAATCAGGTAACCCAGCGGAAGGCCTACCAAAGAAGAGAGTTGAAAAAGAACCTTGTCCTGTTGCTGATGTAAGATGGCGTGGGTCACTGGCCAGAACATTCACCTGACAAACCAAGGTGCAAACGGTGTATCCAAAGTTCCAGTAGAATAAAGTGTGGAAAATGTAATGTTTCACTCTGTCTGAACAAGGAGAACAACTGTTTCAAAGCTTTCCACTTACAATGACTTGAGATGCATTGTGAATCAACAACAAATTAATAAGCACTGTTTACTTTGAGTTCCCTGTTTGCATCGTAAAGTCTCAGTGATTCCAATAGCAATCATTTTATAATTCCTATAATTAGCTACATTATTTACAAAAATTGCATATTCTTGCTTGCTTAGACCTCAATACATAATACATTAAAGAAAAAATTTTCCTTTACATAAAATAATCCAGGACTAAAGGGGTTAAAGTACGTAAAGGATTTTCAAAACCCAGGTAAATGGTACAAGATATAACCAAAGTCAACGCTTCATCGAGAGTGTATGGTTTACCGAAGACATCTAAACCCATCGTAGAAAGCATAGGTTTTTGACCAGCGAACTGGCTAGATATTTGGCTAACTAATTGCAACCAGTGACAGGCCGAACGAATAGGCTCGTATAGGAGTTAAGAGTTCACGTGAAAAACGTCGGGACCTTTGATTAAGTCAATTGAAATGATGGTCAATTTTGTCGTTAGTTCCATCTTTACCAATGTGTCAATATGTGACGCGTTGGAGAGGGTAAAACACCGTGTAAATGGGGAAAATAACTTGGAAAGAACAAAGCATATAGTAGATCAAAGAACTGGGGAAAGGACATTGTGCCCTAACATGTTTTATTTCCCGACCCAATCTAGATTACCATGGGATCGCCAGTATCCTCAGCAGTGACAAATCTGTACATGTAAGAGTAAAAGGAGGGTGCTGAGTGACTCTAGTAGCTCACCGAAAATTTGGTGGCGCTATGTGCAAGACACCTTTGTTATCATAAAACGGGATAAGAAAGACAAGTTTCTTGCGGTGACTA